CTCGTGTCCCTCTTTATGGTGTTGTTCACACAAAGGATCCTCATCGTGCTTGGCTGGGGGCTGTGTCTGGGCACAGAGCAGCAGTCTGGGGACTCCCCAAACACTTCCACCTCCCAGAAAGGCTTGGCCACCACAGAAACTGCTGGTGATGAGGAAGGGGATTGCCACACACACCCAATAGTTCATTTCTTATTACAAGAAGGGAGAAACATGTCCATTTTTCAGCTATGGAAACAGGCTTACAGAAGGTCAAATAACTTGGCCAGAGTCACAATAATAAGTTCCAGGTGGGTTTAAACAGGAGTCTGGGCCTGTAACACTCACTACAGCTGAGCTCTCAGTACCTCCTAGAGCTTTCCCCCCTCCACCTTGCTGGGCCTCTAGCTCGTCCTGTAAAAGTTCCAGGGGCCTGCTCCTCGGGGGTGAGGGGGACCACTGTCCTGGCCCCTCCATGCCCAGCGCTGCTCCACTCCAGCCTCATCCCTTGCTCAGGGACCAGTGTGAGGCCCAGCATGTTTCTTGCCGGGCTCTGCGGTGCTCTAACGCTTCAGCCTCTTTCTCTACTTTGCACAAGGCCTGCAGAGCAGCCTACCAGCTCCCAGGCCTGCTGCCTTTTAACTCTGGCCTTGGTTTCTGTTTAGTCTTCTCCCCACAACCCTTCTTAAACTTGCTAGAGTGACCTAGATGGAGCCCTTCCCTCCTCCATACCCTTGTCCTCAGGAGCCCCTGCCCAGAATACCGTCTTCTGCCTGCCTGCACCACCTGCACCAGTCTTGCCCATTAAAGCCCCAGTTCAGAAAACTTTCCCAGGAAGACTACTCAAATTTGCTGCCAGGTGAAAATATACCCTCTTCCTCTGATTTGCACAGCACTTTATATCTCTGCTTGACAAGTTATTTTGTTTATTCTTAAGTATGAGCCTCCCCGCCCCACAAGAACTTTAAAAACAAGGCCTTTGCATTCAGAGCTGAGTCAGGAATCCCAACTTTGTGACTTACCAAATAATGGGGGTGATGGAGTTGGCCTCAAGTCCTTGGAGAATGTCCTCAGGTTAGCTGTGTAAGTCACCTGGCCAGCTGTGGAACACTCAGGAGGCAGATAGTGCCCGCTCCACTCCAGACCCCTTCTTCCCAGTTTCAGCAAAGCTACCCACCTCCACTCCTCTGAGCCTGCCTGACTTCAGCAGCGATCAGGCTAAGCAGGCGCTCCTGCGGTGGGCGGGGCTCTCGCCGTGGAGGGCGGGGCTCTCGTCGTGGAGGCAGACATCCCAGGGGGCCCATCAACCCGGAAAGGGTGCCTCAGATGGGCAGACCTCATGCTGCCACTCTCCTCACTCTGGACTTCCTGAAGGGAGTCCAGACCTACCCAAAGGTCCTCTCAAGGGGCAGGAGCTGCTGGCCTCCAGGTGGGGTTAGGCAGGGAGACTCCCATCTGCCCCCACAAGCTGAAGATGAGGAAGCTTGTTCATGATTCCCTGGCTTGTTTCTTTGCCCCCTTGGGGAAAGTCGGTCAATTGTTTCTGACTCTTTGTGACCCCATAGGCTGTAGCCCATGAGGCTCTTCTGTCCATGGAATTCTCCAGACCAGAATACTGGAGTGGGTAGCCGTGGGTTCCCCTCTCCAGGGGATCTTCCCAACCCAGGGACTGAACCCAGGTCTCCTGCATTGCAGGCAGATTCTTTACCGACTGAGCCACCAGGGAAGCCCCTTTGCCCACTTAGGTCTGTACCAAAGCTCATCTGTGCTGTGGGTGGGGGCATGCCAGCAGTGAGTGCCTTGAGGTCAGGGGCCACAGCATGGAGACTGGGTAGAGAGCTGGGCTGGAAGGAACTGGCCCTCCCCAAGGAGCACCCACAGTCTGGGGGCTCAGGGTTCTGTTTTATGAAAGGGCCTGTGGTTTTCTTATGAAATGGAAGATGCAGTCACTTTGGCTCCTGCATGAGGATTCCCAGCTTCCTAAGGCCTAGCACTCAGATTCCTGCTGGCTGCTGCTTCAGGGGAAACCCCTCCACCTCTTCCAGGCTCACCAAGGGGAGAACGGAGAATACAGGGAATTCTGCAACCAGGCCCTTGCAGCAGCAGGAGCACCCTGCTGGAGACACGCACAGACCAACCTCATGGGTGCACCATGTGTGATGAATGGAAAGCAACCTAAGGCTTTTAAATATCTCTTTCTTCTCTTCATTCCAGATACCTGTATTTTAATTTTACCTCCAAATATGTATACTTTAATTTCACCATTCCAGAATTAACACTTGATCACTTTGGGTGACTTCTTCCCAGCAAAATGCCCCTTCAGGGAGTGGCATAAGAAGAAAGAGTTATAATGCCCTCCACGTGTTTCCACATCTGCTGTGAGGACTTCAGCATACCTGGCCTACAGGGAAATGTAGTATTTTTTTGTTTAAAAAGTATAAAACTTTGAACACTGTCATTTTGGGGCAAGCTTGGACCTTTTATTATGTATGTATGTATTTTATTGTGACTACGAAACATCTAAAAGAGACAAAAGTAGAAGAGTGTCATGAATCCCTATGTTCCTATCACCCAGCTTCAACAACAATCCATAATTTGTAAATTTTAAGTATCCTTTGGATTTTAAGCTCTACTCAATTCTCTCATACTTACTGTGCGGGGGGAGAGAGAAGAGATGAGCCATCTTATTATTAATTAATTTTAACACTTCTAGAAAACTTGAGCTTTGAATTCTGTAAGTTTTAATGAAAATCCTGCCTCTGGGCTAAAGGCTCACAGGCCGGGGCAGGGAGGAGCCTAGGGAGGCACTCTCTGCTGGGGGAGACCTCCATCATCCCACAGCTTGGCTGGGAACTGAGACTTTCAAAGGCTAAGTGTGCCCACCGTTAGACCAGCGACGATACCCTTGAGATTCCACGTCTTGAGTCCAGCTACTGCTACTTCTGGGAGACAGTTGGCCATATCCTGTCAACTCAAGCAGAAAAAAGCACAGGTTCTGTTTCTGGATGATTTACTGGGTGTCCTACCAGGTTCCTCCGCCAGGGGGAGCTGTGAAGGGCAGTCTTGGACGCTTCCAGAGCCTTTGGGTCTTTCTCAGTGGAAAGTGGGGCGGGATGATCAGTGACAGGCTCCACTGGGTGCGATCGTTACTTTTGAGAGCTCAGTTAGACCAGTGGACAGTCCAGGATAGCATACTGTTGGGAAACCACGAAGCATCTGTTCCAGTTGAGGGTAACAGAAACTCCGGGGATAAAATGAAGACAACAAAAAAATAGAAGAATTATTTTTAAATGCTGCTGCTTGTTGAGTTCTCACCATGTGCCAGGGAGAATGGCTGCCCCCCCTGGAGTTGAGCATGCTGGGAATTTTATAGATGTTATTTATTCTCTGCAGCCCTGAGGAGTTCTATCCTCACTTAATAGATAAGAAACCTGGGACTCAGCCAGACAAGCAGAACCTACAGGGGCCACAGCTTGGACACAAAAGATCTGGGACTCGGCAGCCAGGTCTGCTGCCTTCAAACCCTGGGCCTGTGGCTACCAAGCAATGCCTTCACTTCTGGGGTCCTCAGGTAACAAGCACCGCCCCCGCACCCCCATTCTGTGTCTGGGGTGCGAGGGTGCATCCAGCCAGTGCTAAGCAGAGGCACTGAGCCAACTCCAGTGTATGAGCTACCATTCAGCTCCCCAGCCTTTGGCTCAAATCAAGGGACTTTCACAAAGGTCATTTAACTGGATTTTTCTCAACTCTTCTCACCTAAGAAGCCCTTTTCTTTCCACAGTTTCGTGCAAAAATCTGGCTAAAAGAACTTGGAGCATCTGAATGGTGAATGCAGATGGAAGTTTTAACTGCAGATAAAGTACCAAAAAAGGTCAGCTCAGCTGAGAAGCACCCCTTCCTACCCACCACAACTTTTCATTCTAACGTGACTGCTTTCAGTCAAGACTCAGCTATCACAGGTTCCAGGTCTCCAGGCACTGCTCACCCACCCACTGGAGAGACAGCTCCTGGGAGTAGTGATGGGTGATGACCAGGTACCCGAAAAGCCCCCGGAAAGGGGTTTCCTTCCTGTGCTCACAACCAGTTGTGCTCCTGGGAGCCCGATGCCCCAGGTGTCCATCCTTTGATGGACAGGGCCCCTTTCACTGCCCATCCAGTCCTGGGCCCAACAAGTCACTAGATTCCCACTGGTGGTGATGGTGGTCCACACATTCACTGCCACTGTTAACTCTCTCACACGTCAGTGTCAGCAGCATAGGGCTGACACGTGTGCATGGGCTTTGGACTGTGTGTGGATCCTGTCTATGTACTTACTGGCTGTGTGACCTTCAGGAGGTGAAACTCCGTAAGCCTGTTTCTTCGGCTGTGAAATGGGCATTATATTCCCAGTCTCATAGGGACCCAGAGGAGACCCCAACCTGGGAAGGAAAGAGTACTTGGTGACAGTTAACCCACACTTCCTGACCCCCGCCCCCAACTCCCACCCTCAAAGGAGGGCCCTCCCTCTCTTGATGCTCCCAGGCTTAGCTTCCTGGGGATCCAGAATCAACAGCTATTCCTCAGGGTTAGCAGATGGAGGCTCTGGGTGGGGAATGCCTGGGGAACTGAAAGTGAACTGAAATGAGCGGGGAAGGCGGAAAGGAGATCATTCAAATAGTTCTTCAAAGTGATAGATGGTCCGGCAAAGGGGTCAGAGGATGAAGCACTGGATGGGAGGGAGGAGACAGTCTAAAGATTGGACAGAGGTCTCCAGGGGTCAGTGAAGGTGTGACAGGTACCTCTGCATGATCTCAAGGTGAGGATGCAAAAGGAACTCCCAGGGTTAGGGGTGCCGTGTGCAGGACCCTGCAGGCCACAGCCTCTCCCCTTCCCCACCCCGCCCAAGACATCAGAACAGGGCACGAAACCCACACAGGACCGCGGACCGCCCCCAGGCTCTCACTGCAGCCAGGCAGGCTCATCTCTGTTTATTTTTTTTCAAAACAAAACTAAAAATCATCACTCAAAATATTTGAGGAGAGTGCTCAAGTTAAAAGCTTTTCACAGGATTTGCAGTCAGAACATCGCAGACTGGTGGTCAGGAACGAGAGCGCGGCCTCCAGCCTCCACTGCTGTTCCCCATGAGCTGCATTCCAGGCAGTAGGGTGATGACCCCCGGTGGCTGAGGCTGGTGGCATCCACAGATCAGAGACGTTCCAGTTCTGGTCAGACCATCCAGCACCTCGAGGGCCTGCTGGGCTCCCTCCCCCATGAGAGTCCACAAACTCTGTGAGGAAGGCAGCCAGGTTGCTGCCCAAGCACTGTCCGCTGTCAGGGCAGGCGGTTCGGCGCTGCATCTTCACGGGGAAGGGCGCACTCCCCGGGGGCAAGGGGTGGAACGCCTATGCGGTGTCATCATCGCTCGTGTTTAATGATGGCTTCACTCCGCTCCAGGGTGAGTCCGTTGCCGTTCCGAGTGCCTTCCTTCCTGCTCCAGTCCTTCTCCGTGTAAAACTCCGCAAGCACAGGGCAGTGTTCAGAAGCCACTCCGCCCCAAGACCAGTTATCTGGAATCCAAGGGTTCGTGAGGCCTTCTCTCACTACAGCCCAGTGGCCTGGAGGCAGAGGGAAGACAGACCCAGAGGTCAGGATGGGGGGGGTGGGTGGAGGCCAACACTGTACATAGTCTGCAAGCCTGGGCTCCCTGAAGAGACCCCTCAGTCACCTGGCTTGCCTGTGCAAATCAGCTGTCTCAGCCCATTGGATTTCCCATACAAGTGAGGGTTTGCCAAGGAGGTGCTGAAACTACCCTGGGTCCAGGCCTCCTGCCCATTCACACACCTCCTGGCCCCCACGCCGTCCTTACTTTCAAACACTTGCAATCTGACCAGTGAGGATAAGTGTTTGACACAGGGACACAGGTCCCACAAAGGCGTCCAAAGTGAAGGTCCTATTTCACAAAGCAAAGCTGCAAGGGCAGGTGGGAAAAGAGAAAGTTCTATAAAAAGGGTAAAGAAGAGAAAGTTACAGAAGTTTATGAGATAGTAAAGGTATCTTTAAAGTCAAGATTTAGAAACATGTGAAGCTCAAGGTGTGTTTAAGAACGAGTGGAAGAGTCACAGAAGGAAGGATGGAGCAGTTAGAAGCATGGCCGTGGCCCTCAGTGAGAACCGTCGCAGATAATAAACGGACCCAGGCCTGGGCTCCGGTGGCTTCCCTAGTGGCTGAGAGGGTGAAGAATCTATCTGCCTGTAATCAGGAGACCTGGGTTCAATCCCTGGGTTGGGAAGATCCCCTGGAGAAGGGAATGGCAACCCACTCCAGTATTCTTGCCTGGAGAATTCCATGGACAGAGGAGTCTGGCGGGCTACAGTCCACAGGCTCGCAAAGAGTTGGACATGACTAAGCAACTAACTGTGGAAAATTCTTAAAGAGATGGGAATACCAGACCACCTGACCTGCCTCTTGAAAAATCTGTACGCAGCTCAGGAAGCAACAACTAGAACTGGACATGTAACAACAGACTGGTTCCAAATTGGGAAAGGAGTATGTCAAGGTTGTATATTGTCACCCTGCTTATTTAACTTCTATGCAGAGTCAGTCAGTCAGTTCAGTCGCTCAGTCGTGTCTGACTCTTTGTGACCCCGTGAATCGCAGCACGCCAGGCCTCCCTGTCCATCACCAACTCTCGGAGTTTACTCAAACTCATGCCCATCAAGTCGGTGATGCCATTCAGCCATCTCATCCTCTGTTGTCCTCTTCTCCTCCTGCCCCCAATCCCTCCCAGTATCAGGGTGTTTTCCAGTGAGTCAACTCTTCATATGAAGTGGCCAAAGTACTGGAGTTTCAGCTTCAGCATCAGTCCTTCCAATGAACACCCAGGACTGATCTCCTTTAGGATAGACTGGTTGGATTTCCTTGCAGTTCAAGGGACTCTCAAGAGTCTTCTCCAACACTACAGTTCAAAAGCATCAATTTTTTGGTGCTCAGCTTTCTTCACAGTCCAACTCTCACATCCACAGAGTATATCATGAGAAATGCTGGGCTGGAGGAAGCACAAGCTGGAATCAAGATTTCTGGGAGAAATATCAATAACCTCAGATATGCAGATGACACCACCCTTATGGCAGAAAGCTAAGAACAACTAAAGAGCCTCTTGATGAAAGTGAAAGAGGAGAGTGAAAAAATTGACTTAAAAGTCAACATTCAGAAAACTAAGATCATGGCATCCAGTCCCATCACTTCATGGCAAATAGATGGGGAAGCAATAGAAACAGTGACAGACTTTATTTTTTGGGCTCCAAAATCAGATGGTGATTGCAGCCATGAAATTAAAAGATGCTTGCTCCTTGGAAGAAAAGTTATGACCAACCTAGACAGCATATTAAAAAACAGAGAAATTACTTTGTTGTCAAAGGTCTGTATAGTCAAACCATGGTTTTTCCAGTAGTCATGTATGGATGTGAGAGTTGGACCATAAAGAATTGATGCTTTTGAAGTGTGGTGTTGGAGAAGACTCTTGAGAGTCCCTTGGACTGCAAGGAGATCCAACCAGTCCATCCTAAAGGAAATCAGTTCTGAATATTCATTGGAAGGACTGATGCTGAAGCTGAAACTCCAATACTTTGGCCACCTGATTCAAAGAACTGACTCATCTGAAAAGACCTCGATGCTGGGAAATATTGAAGGCGGGAGGAGAAGGGGATGACGGAGGATGAGATGGTTGGATGGCATCGCTGACTCAATGGACATGAGTTTGAGCAAACTCCGGGAGTTGGTGATGAGCAGGGAGGCCTGGTGTGCTGCGATTCATGGGGTCGCAGAGTCAGACATGACTGAGCAACTGAACTGACCTGAACTGAGCAACTAACACCTTCACTTTCAGGCCTGGATTCTGATGTGAGTTCTGCTGCCCAGGCAACAGTCCCACGATGGGGGCCACTGCTCCCTGCACCTCGCTTTCTACAGCTAAAGAGCAAGGGACAGATGCAATGGTTTCTAACTTTTCTCCAGCCCCATCTGCTCAAGCACTCCAGCACCGCCTCCCACTGCCACCGACCTCTGTCTGGCCAGCGGTGCATTTCTGCAAACTGCGTCTCGCCCAGTCTCATGACTGACACTCCCTCTGAGGCCCACTTTCTTCATCCTTTGGATTTTCCTATGACACAGTCCAACAGCACACTGGTGCCCGGGACTGGAAGTTCTAGGCCTGAGGATCCAAGTCTTGGTTGCACGTCCTGTTCTCACAGTGGGACTCCAGCATTGGTACTTAATTTTTTTTTTTTAACGTTTCTCTGAAGTATAATCTGCAACTATTTGTGTTTAGTAAGGGCTTCTCTGGTGACGCAGATGGTAAAGAATCTGCCTGCAGCGCAGGAGACGGGTTCGATCCCTGGGTCAGGAAGATTCCTTGGAGGAGGGAATGGCTACCCACTCCAGTATTCTTGCCTGGAAAATCACATGGACAGAGGAGCCTGGTGGGCTACAGTCCCTGGGGTCACAAAGATCGGACACGACAACTGATCAACTGACACTTTTCAAACTTTTGGTGCTTATCTTACTCTTCTTATCTTACGTCCAAAGACCCTACTGCCGCTTCTGTATTTTTATGAATATTTCATGACCCAAAGTCTGCTCAGCAAGTGACTGGTTTTGAGGGAGTGCTTTTCAGTTCTGAGGTTACCCACCACACCCTGGTCTGGCAGAGTCCTGCCTAAAGCACTTCTGCATCCTATAGTGATGCCAGGTGATGTGTCAGCTCACCCCCAACTGCTGCTCTTCAGGGTGCTGATGGCATTGGTAAATCTCAGGCCACAACACACTGCCTGAGCATGACAGGGCTCGAGAAGTGTTTGCTGAAGGACTAAGTATCCTTAAAATTAGGCTAAGTTGGGGCTTCCCAGGTGGCCAGTGGATAAGAATCCACCTGCCAATGCAAGGAACATGGGTTTGAATTTCTGTCAAGTCGTGGGGCAACTACGCCCGTGTACTACAACTATCGAGCCTACGCTCTAGCGCCCGTGAACCACACCACTGAAGCCCACGTGCCCTGGAACCCGTGCTCTACAAGAGAAATCACTGCAATGAGAAGCCCACACACCACAACTAGAGAGTGGCCCCAACTCAGTGCAACTAGAGAAAGTTCGCAGCAAGGACCCAGTGCTGCCAGTCAATAACCAGGTCTTCCCGGGACGCATTTGCTTTGTCCCTGATGTAGGTCAGTGAATGCCTTTTAGTTTTCAGAACCCCTTCACTCTTAAAAGTGGCTCTGTGTGAATGATAATTATACAGCCACCTGAACAGTAACCCGGTAAATGCCCGCAGAGGAGGGAAGGTCACTCCTGACTCTCGCTCAAACCAGACAATCGTGAACTGCCAGCTCAGACAGGTGACTCTCACTCTGTTTCTGAACAGCACACGTGCTTTACCTGTGAAAACCTTCTTTAAGCTTTTACTGATCCAGATGTTGTCCAGAGTCTTCGAGCCCTGAGGATTCTTGGTGCTGATGTTGGTAAAGGTGTGTGCGGGGATCAGGTGGTGGAATTTTTCTTTCCTCAAGATATCATAGTCACTGCTGTCCGGCCCCTGGCCAAAATCCCCTAAAACTATCACGTCTTTTTCTCCTAGAAGTAGAAGAAAGAAATTCAGAAATGTAAGAGGTGGTGGGGAGTTAGCCCAACACTGACCACCACTCATTTAAGTAGGATGGTGACTGTCTGATCTGACTCACCAGGGTTAGGACTGTGGCATGGTTCTTATTCTCCCAATTTTCCCAAGTGCCTTGTGCAATACCTCCTCACTGCACCCCCGGCCCTACAAGCCTTCAGAGTAGTTTAGTGACACATTTGGTTGGTATCATGTCAACATCACCTCTGTTCTGGATCATGGGTTCTGAATCTCATAGCACAAAAAGGCCCCAAGGGTCTTGCCCAGATTGTTAACAAAAGCTCAACAAACATTTACTGAGCACAGAAGGAAGCCCAAGTGAAGACACAGGAAGAAGACAGACATCTACAAGCCGAGGAGAGGCTTCAGAAGAAACCGCCCCTGCCAACACCTTGATCATGGACTTTCCAGCCTTCAGGACTGTAAGAAAATAAATGCCTGTTATTTAAGTCATCCAATCTGTGGTATTTTGTTATGGAACCCCAGCACACTAATATAGGGCAAAATACTTTAAAGTATTTTCAACATCTCTCTCAAACTCAAGTTTGATTTACAAGAGTAAGTGGGATAGTTATGAAGTATTTTCCAAAGTGAGGAGACATTCAGAAAGGACAGTGGGCCCCAGCTTGGCTCCCTGGGATTCCGGTCCACTGCCTGACCATCACTTCCTGTCTCGAAGTTCCCCTCATGGGAGCCACGTTACCACAGGGAGAAACATTGCAAGAAAAGCTTTAAGGAAAGCAGTTCATAACCAAGGGCCAAATGCACCTGAGACACTCAGCAAATCTTCAGGGACACGAATATGCGTCAATAACAATGGCTTAGAGATAAAGAAATCAAAGTGAAATGACAGACGCCACCAGCAGAGGGCACTCATGTTCTGCACATGACATCCTCTTCCGGGGGTCCTGAGGGAGGGAAGGGGATGGAAGGAAGTCTTTCCTGCAGCCATTGTGTGACCAACAAGAGAGGCAACTGTGACCCTCATGCTAGATCCTAACAATCCTGGCACCCAGAGCGGGGCGAGCCCAACTAAGCTGGTCGTGAGAAGTCAGTGAGAACTTCCAACAGGAAAGTCAACTTATGAATAATATTAATAACAACTCCTACGTGGCCAGTGTTAATGACCCTCCGCTGAGTCGTCACCGTGTGCCGGGGACCTCTTGCAGGTGAGAAGCTGAGGCTCTGACCAAACCCACCAAGCCAGCCCTCAAATCCAGGACTCTCTACACAGCGCTAGGATGGAAAAGCCCCACACGCTTGGAACAGTCTGCTGCCTGGCAGACGTAAGAGAAACACGCGTGGAAGAAATAGTGAACAAAGCATGAGGAAAACTGCAGAATTAAGGTGCAACGTATTTTTTAAAAGGAATGAATAGAAAGATGCTACCTTTGTTAAATTTCAAGGAAAACTAAGGAAAGACTGAGATAGAAGGTTTCCATATAATGAGAGGTTTTCATTAGGATACAAACATGAAATATTTGAGCCAAAAAAAAAGACAGTTCTGGGGGTTTTCCTGGTGGCTCAGTGATAAAGAATCCACTGACCAATGCAAGAGACATGGGTTCAATCCCTGGTCTGGGATGATCCCACATGCCACAGGACAACTAAGCTCGTGTACCACAGCTATTAAGCCTATGCTCTAGAGCCCAAAAGCCACAGCTGATGAAGACTGCACATCCTATAGCCTGTGCTCCACAACAAGAGAAGCCACCACAATGAGAAGCCTTTGTACTGCAACTAGAGAGTAGCCCCCGCTCACTGCAACAAGAGAAAGCCCATGTGCCACAATGAAGACTCAGCACTGACAAAATATATATATATATATATATATATTTTTTTTTTTTTTTTAAGAAAAGAAAATTCTGAACCCAGGAGAGATGCTGGTGTCAGGTGTCAATAAACTAAGCTCTGTGTAACTTCAGGAATGAAAATAATGGCTCATTTTGAATTGGACTGTCCAGGTTTCTTGCAACTGAACTACTTTGGTTAAAGCAGTTTGGTGATGACATGGAGACACTCCCTGCCTCTGACAACCCACAGACGTGCAGGGCCCTAAATTCTCCTAGGAAGCTGTCCACCAAGGTGGGCTCCACAGTTATCCTCTGAGTTTCTAGGAGTTAGGGCTTCCCAGGTGGCCCTAGTGGTAAATAACCTGCCTACCAATGCAGGAGACCCAGAAGACGCAGGTTCGATCCCTGGGTCAGGAAGATCCCCTGGAGGAGGGCATGGCAATCCACTCCAGTATTCTTGCCTGGAGAATCCCATGGCCAGAGGAGCCGCCTGGCAGGCTACAGTCCCTGGGGCCGCAAAGAATCGGACACTACTCAGCACACACATTTTCCAGGAGTGAAGGGAGAATGTTTGGGGCTGACTTCCTCAGAGTCCTAGATTTATAAAATGCCGGTGACAACAGCAGGAGCCAGGCCCCACTGGGGGTGTCTTACTCAGATGCCAAGCATGACCCTGCCTTGTTTGGCTGAGTTCACAGAGCAGGCCCTGGGGGGGGTGGGCAGTCTGAATGAAGAAAATTCTATCAGTGGATGGGCACCCCACCCTCAGCCCTCACTGACGTCAGTCAATCTGGCTGCACATTCCAGACAAAGATGGAAAGGCCCAGAGTTTGCTAACCAAATCGACTCTGTTTGCTCTGATAGAAAGAAGCCTGTGGAATAAAGGTTCAGTCTTTGTTTGAGCCAAACCACCTCTGCTCATCGATTTACCCAAGCTGCCCCTTGGGCAGGTTGCAGCACTTCCTGATTCCTTGGCTCTGCCGTGTCACCAGTTACCAACAGGCTGGATGTTAGTCACACGCAGGGGGACACGGGGACATGAGTCATTGTCCTTACCTGGGCATGTCAAGGCTGAGCCAGGCTGTGGCTCAATAGTCCCTGGCAGCTTGAAACAATACCCTGCCCAGGTCTTCTGACAAATACCTGATCCCCACCTGAACATCAGAGAAGACAGCAAGGGCCTATGGTTATCAGAGAAGTGAGGGACTGGCATATTCCCTTCCTCCTTCCGTATAAGGGAAAAGCTTGAAATCAAGAACAACAGAAATATCCACAGATTTAAAAGCTATCAAGTCATCCTTCATAATGGGTTAGAGACTAGCCGTGGGTGAACAGTCTCCCACATAGTTGCCCCTTGGATGAAGTATCTTGCCTTAAACATCTTTCTGACTTTTTTTTTTTAGCCCAAAGGCTCATAATTTAAGGAAAACACTGGTCGCAGCACATCCTGGTTTGAAATGTAAGCTGTACATCAATGTTCATAAGAGCATTATCCATAACAGCCAAAAGATGGAAATAAGTGTCCAAGGGTCCATTGACTCACAAATGGAATAGTATTTGGCCATAAAAATGAAAGGAAATTCTGATATATACTACAAGCCATAAAGACATAATGTAAGTGAAATAAACTGGCCAAAAAAGGACAAATATTGTAAGGTTCCACTTAGATGAGATGCCTAGAGTGATCAAGTTCATAGAAACAAAGTAGAAAGGTGACTGTCAGGGTCTGGAAGGGAAGGGAATTTGTGTTTAATGGGCACAGAGTTTCAGTTTGGGAAGATGAAAAAGTTCTAGAGATGGATGGTGGTCACGGTTATAAAGTAATGTAAATATACTTAAAACCACTGACCTGTAACTTAAAAATGGTTAAGATGGCAAGTCTCATGTCATGATAAAACTCTTCAACTCTTCAAAATGAACTATCTTTGAACTATCTTTGTAGCCAAATCTTCATAAGTCACCTTGTAGGGGGCCAATTTAACAAGGGAAAAAAGGCTTAGCAAGCTAGGAATACAGATTAAGACTCTAGAATACAGAAGAGAACTGCAGGCCTCCAGCTGTGAAACCTCACCTGGAGACGCTCAGTATTCTGAAAAACCAAGCCAAGCTGAACACACCCCAGTCTTTATAGCTGTGTCAAATTTCAACTCTTCCTCCTTGAAACCCACACACAGAAAACTTTTGGTATTATTAGAGGGAAAGCACAGAGTCCACCTGTCTTCTGAAGTCCCGCTCTTTTCAGTGTTCTCTTCATCCCCCTGGCATGTTTTTGAGTCAGTTCATGTCCGCTGAGCCCCTGCTATTTCTGGGTCCTTCATCAGATGTCCACCCAGCCCTGGGCACCCTGTGAGCCCCTGAAGAGTGGTGACCTCCCAGACATCCTACAGCCATTTGAAGGAGCTAAGATTCAAGTCCAGTGTTTCTGTCAATGTCAGGGCTCTGCCAGCAAGATCTGCAATCCACCAGGAAGGAAAGGACTCATCAGGACTCCCCCACTCCCCTAGTCACCAACTCTCTTTCACAAGAAGAGCAGGCGCACATCTTCAGGGGACACCATCACCGGAGCACACGGGGTCAGTGGAGCCCATGATGAGGGTCACGGGGGAGGATATCATCACTCAGTTTCTCCTTCTCCCAGTGCTGTCCATCCAAGAGAGGCTGGAGAGCCACAAAACCCCCACTGTGGAACCCACATGCCAGACCCACAGAGACAGCTGTGAGCGTGCCCAGGGCACTGGGCTTCCCAGGATGCAGGCGGCATGGCGGTTTCCTGTACATCGCTCAGTACGCATCACTGCCCACGGGACAGCCAGCCTATGGGAGGGGAGAGATGCCGGGAAGGGGCACCCCTCACCTATCCTGCAGAAGTGGGAGCTGCTAGCCCATCCGCACAGAAAGATGGTTCCTACCTTTCAGGGTTTCCTGCAAGGTCTGTGTGAAGCTAGCCCAGCGATGGCTGTCACCGTGATTCTTGCTCAGGTTCTCACCCCCTGGGAGGGTCAGGGTCGCCAGGTGAAGGTTCACCAGCGTCAAGTCATGACTTCCTACCTGGGCAAGATGAAACAAGGCACCAGAGACAGGTTGAGATGCTCTCATTGCCTGCGTCCATTACCTCCAACCCCCAAGCAGTTTCGCGAACAGCCCTGATGATGGGAAACACACACGGGGCAGCTCACCCTGGAGGAAGGGGAGGTAGCCATCGTAAGAGCTTCCTGAGGCCCTTGCAGGACCGAGACCTCTCTTGTCCTATCACGGGGACCCCCTACATTGCACCCCTTTACTCCTCCTTAAGGCCTGGAAAATCAGGCACATCTAGAAATGTCAATTTTTTGTTTTTTTTCCTTCTGAGCAACCATAAAGGAGGAAGAGGTGATGTTAGCAGCTGGTTGTTAATGAAGACCTGGGGCTCTCCCTACAGGGCCAGCCTGTCACCCCCCACCCCCGCCAGGATTTGCGGCTGGGCCCCGCCTCCTTCCCCACTTCCCCACATCCCACCCACTCCATGCGCTCCCTTCCCCCCTAGAGATCACGGTGCCTGATGCTCAGTGATTTCAAACATGAAGAATGAAAGCTGACTGAGCCCTGGTAGCACAGGCTATGCCCCACCTCTGATTCATCCCCAGAGCAGGGGCAGAATCGTGACGTCAGAGTCAGTCTCCTGGGCACTGCTCAGCGGCTCTGGGTTTGGCAGCCCCACCCTTCTGTTTGTCATGGCAACAAACACTAACCTCTGCCAGGAAGCGGGGGTGTGCAGAGGGCACCCCCAGTGGGGGCTGCCAGTTTCATCTGACAGAGGTGACCCCAGTTTGCCATCACCACCGCCCCACTTAGGGGGGCTCTCTCTGCAGCCGTGGCTCTGACCTCAAGGGAGACACCTTCCGGCCGTGGGCAAGGAAACCCTGCCTGGGGAGAAAAGCCAGGTCTCTGTTCCCACAACCTGCCTGGCCTAGGATGTGACACGAAGCACAGTGGCCTCATACCTGTCCAGGGGATCACTTCCTTCAAAGGATTTGAGCCAATAATTCACAATCTGAGAGCATTTCTTAATGATCTTTAAAACCAGCCCACCTCTGAGAGATACTAGCTGGTTCTGCCTGTTGCCTTGCTTGGCCAAAGCCAGTGCAGCCACTTCACATAAAAAGGGACCTGGGGAGGAGGGTTCAGGGGTGATACCTGGCCGACTGACACATCAGTGCCAAAAGCACAACCCACAGACACCCCGGGTTGTGTGCATGCACATGGAACACCAACATCTCTGCAGCTTTGCGAGTGAGGAGAGGGGTAGCGTGGGCAGGACCCCCGACCACAGTCAGCACAGCCGCCAGCTCACAGGCAGCCCCAGCCCGGAGCTGCCAGAGAGAAACTGCTGAGGCCTGCGGCAACCCTCTGGCTCCAGAGCATATAGGAGGGGAGGTCCCAGACACCTGGCAGCTAGCTTGCTGGGCTCTGGGACAAGGGACCACTCTCGCCCAACCCTGTGACTTCTGAGGGGAAAGGCCAACTGCTGACTTGGTGATCTGTTTTGGCTCCTGCCTTTTCCTCCTTCCTGATGCCCAGTTTCTGACTGCTGTGCATGAATATTTCCCAGGGCATCCAGGGGAATGGGAGAGACAGCTCAGGTCGGTCTGCTTGCTGCTCCCAACTCTGGAGAGAGAGGGCTCGTCTGGAGGTGTCAGTGGCCCCACCACCCAGAAGCTCCTTCTGGGCCCCTGCCAAGCCCCAATGACCCCTGGAGGGCTCCCTAGTAAGAGAAGGGTGTCCTCAGAGCAGTTCGGCTGCCCTCTAATCCAGAGATTCCAAAACATCCGGCTTCCTTACCCAGCGCTGGGAGCACTTATGAAGCGCAGGAGGTGATTCTGGAAACCAGGCATTGTAGTGTCTGGAGCAGGGTCCAGGAAACCCTGATTTTAAGAAAATCTCTCTAGGTGATTGTGCTGCTTATCAGGTTTGGGAAGCGGCCATTTGACCTCCTTCCCGCCCAGAGGTCCAAGTTACCAGAGCTATGATCTCCCCCAAATTCCTCTCCTTCCTGCTGTGGACAAGTTCCCAGTCGAGGGAACCCCGACTGTGTGTGCTGACCCAGCCCCGAGAGAGAATCAAACCCAGGCAAAAAGGTGAGCTCCTCTGGCTCACAGTTCAAAGTAGGCTTTTCTCCTTTTCAGAAGGAGTAGCCCCGCACAGCAATAGGAGTGATACCTTAAACCTTGCGAGGTACGGGCTAGGGCACGCCGGCTTCCCATGCCCGTTGCTGGGTGAGCTCTCCTGCCAGGCGGCATCTCTCAGCTCCACCCCGGCCGCTGTGTCCCACAGGAACCCTGCAAACCCGGCACCCTGCGGGAGAAGACGAGGTGTTAGTGTGCAGAGAGGTCTGTCTGGTGGGGTGCTCAGCCCCGAGCTGGGAGAAGCAGGCAAGGCCAGGAGGAGACAGAGGGAAAGCTGCAGACTCTACACTGGGTCTGGGGGTGACCTGCGGGGTCACTGGGTGACCGGGGGCTGTTTCTGAGACAAAAGCATATCCCTAAACCACAGCATGTTCCTCCTTGTCACCCCAACAAATTTCTCAGACCAGCACTTTCAGAGGGGTTCACACAGCTGGGGTGCTTGGGCTCTTCTTTAGAAGGGGCATGTTGCAGGGAAGATCCCAGACTAGGCACAGGATTATCTTTTTAATCATCACATCCCATAGGATGGCCACTCACATGCCCATCTGTCATGTGAAGACTCAGCTGCTCAGAGAGGTTAAGTAACTTCCCTGAAACCCCACAGTTGATAAATGGCAATGCTGAGGATCAAATATAAGACTCCAAGAGGTGGCTTTGGTTACTGAGCAGCTGCCAGCTTCCAGCTCAGTACCACCTGCTTCCTCATGGGTACCCTGCCAGGCACTGGCCCATGTCTGCTAAATAAGCATTCAATGCACAGTAGCCTTTAAAATTCTATAGCCACTCTGTGAGTTGAGGGAGGAGCTGTTGATCCCATTTTACAGATGAAGGAGTTGAGGCTGAGCGATCTGAGAGGCAGCCACACACTGTTACCCAGTGGCCTTGACACCGGACCTGGAGTAGGGTTACCTGACTTAAAAATCTCCAACAGGCTCCATCAGGCTCAGTCAAGGTCCTGGGCTTGCAAAGAGTGAAAGAGGCCAGGTTTCTGGGTCTAGTTTTCTCACCATGAACATCTAGTATGTAGCACAGTGCCTGACACACAGTAACTTTTCTAATAATTTGCTGAACAGATAAACAGTGTTAAATGGACTGTAAGTGTCCTGTGAACCTATACATATATGTGTGTAAAGTGCCTTCTAAAAAAATGTGTGAAAGTATTAGTCGCTCAGTTGTGTTTGACTCTTTTTGACCCCAAGGACTAGAACTCACCAGGCTCCTCTGTCCATGGAATTCTCCAGGCAAGAATACTGGAGTGGGTAGCCGTGCCCTTCTCTACGGGATCTTCCCGACCAGGGATTGAACCTGGGTCTCCCACATTGTAGGCAGATTCTTTACCATCTGAGCCATTAAAAACATTTTTTAATGACTTTTATATATTTATTTATGGCTCTGCTGGGTCTTCATTGCTACACCAGCTTTTCTCTAGTTGTGGCAAGTGGGGGCTCCTCTCTTGCTGCAGTGCGTGCATTTCTCACTGCACTGGCTTCTCTTGTTGCAGAGCAAGGGGTCTAGAGGGCTTCAGTCTTTGCTGCATGTGGGATCAGTAGTTGGGTTTCCTGGGCTCTAGAGCACAGATTCAATAGTCATGGTGTGGGCTGAGTTGCTCCGCAGCACGTGGGATCTTATCGGACCAGGGATGGCACCCCTGTCTCCTGCACTGGCAGGCAGATTCTCTACCAATGAGCCACCAGGGAAGCCCCCCAGCCCTGTTTTTTAAGTTTATTTTTATTTTACTTTTGGCTGCACCATGCAGCCTGTGGGAACACAGTTCTCCGACCAGGATTGAACCCGGGCCCCTGGCAGGGAGTGTAGAGTCCTAACCACTGGACCACTAGGGAAGTCCCCTGTTAGTATTATTTCTATGATGACTGAGAAGGGACAGTCATGGGCTGGAGTGGTAAAGGCCAGATACCTTCCAATTATCCTGTATTTCCAACCTCCTGGCTCCCACCTGCAGCAATCACTTACACCCCAAACCCAGAGAAATAAGATTCACAGCACACTTTAGGAGCTAAAAAGAAAGCTTATTGTCAATAAGTGACTGGATAATTTTAATCCAGTAAACATTACAATTTAAAAGTCCCAGATCTCCATATCACTCAGATAAGTATTTATATCATGTGTGTTTATAAGCATATTAGGTATACTTCTCACATGGCTCAGTGGTAAAGAATCCACCTGCCAATGCAAAGCCACAGGAGATGAGGGTTTGATCCCTGGGTTGGGAAGATCCCTTGGAGAAGGGAATGGCAACCCACTCCACTATTCTTGCCAGGATGATCCCATGGACAGAGGAGCCTGGTGGGCTACAGTCCAAGGGTCACGAAGAGTCAGACACAACTGACATGCACACAGCACCAACACCTAGAGATAAAAATATAACATCTGCATTTATAGGAAAATTTTGTAATCCACTCATAATTAACTATCAGGAGCCTTTTTTTTAAAATCTAAAACTTTACCGATGTTGAATATTTCAAGTGAGTAAAGACTGGTCTTGAATATATGTAGGAGTGAAAATATATACATAGAGATATTTACCTAAACCCATATGGGCAATACTAACGAGAGAAAATTCAAAATTAAAATCTGCTGAACATTTCCACAGACCATTTCCATATGCACAATTTTTACCACTAAAGCGAATATTTCATGTATGAATTAAGTGAATCTGAAGTTCTCAGTCAATGAACAATGGGCTCTCTACAAACTTGGCAGAGGCCGGAACCGCGGAGAAGGGATTAGAAGGACAAAGGACAGAAATACCCCATTTGCTGCCTTGGCTCCAGACAGGATTTCTCCTCTCCTCCCAATACCCAAGTTCCCATTTCTGTCTGGGCAGCAGGCCATTCCTGATCCAAACAGGAAATAAGAACCAGGGCATTTTGCAACAAATGGCAAAGAGCTAAAAAATGGGCAGAAATACAACATTACGTCAAGGATGTTGGCAAAGGAAAGGTTTTAAACGTCTGTGATTGGAAAAAAGAAAATGGAAAGAAAAGTCCCGTTCTGCAGATGAGGGTACCTTTTGGAGCTGAGTCAAGGGCGCCTCTGAAACCACGGCCTTCCAGCATCCCCGGGGCCCTTTCCACTTGCGGATGTTGGGCAGGACTGGCTGGTTTAGCTCCGTACAGAACTGTGAAGACAGAGAACGCGTCGGTGTGTGCTCCCGCCTAAGGTAGTTCCTGCTGCAGGCAGCCTGAGGAGCCAGAAAACGCGGGATCCTGACTCCTCAGCCTGATTCAGACACTTGTCAGACCTCGTCCTTGTGTTTTCAGAAGCCAGGGTTTATGAAGACCAGGATGGCAAAACAAGTCTTGAAAATTAAAAAACTGTCCACCGGTGAAATATACAATTATCACCTGGAGAATTTTACTTAGAGCAAGCCATTCTCTTTGTAGCAATCCACCACAAATAGTTCAAAAGCAGTTGTCAGAATCTTTTTAATCCTTGAAAAAATCAGTGCTTAAGGGCCCAGGAGAGTCTAGAACAGTATCAAATGCAGAGGGAAGAACATGGATACGTGGTACTTTTCCACCCCTGTTAGAGGCACAAAAATAGACCCCCAGAAAGTAGTCAATAATTGTGAAATAACTTTAAATAGTGACAGGTGGTCACTAGACTTAATGTCACGGTCATTTCATAATGTATAAAATTACTGGATCACTATGTTGTACATCTGAGACTAATACAATATTGTAAATCAATTATACTTCAATTTAAAAAAAAGTGCCAACTGACCCTCCCTTCACCATGCACCACCATATTGTTCACCTTGGTTTTCCTCTGAGAAGAAAGACCCCTCATGGGTGGTTACTAAGTCTCATGTATGTTTTCAGGGTGAGCTCCTTTTCCTATATGTGTGTTTCACCAATATTTAACTGTAAGGTGACTTTATCATCAAGGCAAAATAAAATCATACAAAGTATTAATAAAATCAGGAATTGAAAAACTACAGGTTTCAGAATCCATGTGCCAGTTCCTCTAAGTCGTGCCTCAAACACAATCCCATCTCTTGGGGCTGGTTCTTTTAAGGGGTCTCTGGAATTTGTCAGATTTGGGCTGTTTGAGATGCTCTGATACCTGGTGCTGCCCCTTCCGGGTGACACCTCCGTACCTTGGGCACCCTACTCAGCCCTTCCTCTGCCCGGCCCTATCAGCCAGTCTCTGGGCTTCCTTTCGGAGGCATCATTGCCATCTCCTCAAAGAGCCACCCTTAAGTAACCTCAGCCCCACAGCTTCAGCTTACACTTCTACCCCAAACGCCCCCAAATCTGTACCAGCAGCTCAGATTTCTCTCTTGAGTTTTAAGTTGTATTTTGACTTCCTTTTTAACATTTCCATCAGAAGATTTCCACAGAAGCACAAACCCAGCAGGTCCCAAAGGAACATGCCATTCCCCTCCCCGAAGTGCATCTCAATTCCTGGCATAAGCATCCTTCCAGCTACTCTGACTCTGCCCTCTCCTCCCACAGGCTAGCGCTCCCCAGACCACATGCAGCATCACGTCTGTCGGAAGCGCCCTCTTTCTATTCTCCAATCCCACTGTTATGGGCCAATTCAGAGCTCCATATTCTCCCACCTGGCTCACTGGCACAGCTTGTTAGAGGTCTCTCTGCCTCTCTGTCATTCAATCCCCTCCCATCTGTCCACTGGGTAAGCTGTGATGGCTATACTGACACACCATCCCTGTGGTTCTCAAAGTGTGGTCCAGGGCCCAGGAACATCAGCCCTTGTAGGAAACTCTCTGGCCCCACCCTAGACCTGCCAGATCAGAAACTCTAGTGTGAGGCCCAGTAAATGTGTTTTAACAAGCCCTTTGGTGATTTGGATGCCAGCTAAGATCTGAGAACCACTGCAGCTGCCACTCTTCCCTAAGCATCTGCCTCAGATCGGGGTGATGTTGTGGGCTGGCAGCAAGTGGTCTGTAGGCAGCCTCCTCCAGGGATGCCTTGGCTGCAGAGAGCTGCTCTCATGCCCTTCCTGGGCCGTTCACATCCAGCGGCTGAGAGAGGCCAGGGTCTGATGGTCTGGTCTCTGCTCTCCTGTTGCTCGAGCTCTGAGAGAGAAGATGAATCATTTCTCTAGTGACAAGTACTATGGAGGAAACAAATTCGGGCAAGGATGGAGCCTCCAGGGAGGGTTACCTGCTTTTACAGTTACATGTTTATGTGTCTGCCTCTTCCCAGTAGTGGATGCCACAAGAGCAGGGGCTGTCCCCAGGTTGACTTTAGAAAGCCCACCTGGCAGAGCATGGTGCCCAGTGAAGTTCTACAAGCATCGGCTGGTGAAGCAGGAAATTTCAGGGAAGATCACCATTCTCAAATCCAGGTATGAGAGACAAAAGGAGGAATTTCTTCTTGAGCTATTTAAGTAACTGCTTCAATCTTAATCTGACTTTGAGTTTGCCTGGGAAAGGTTCTCTCTGGGATGTGGTCCTCAGTGACTTTTATCCATTCCCCTTTCAACACTGCCACGGATGGTGTTATTCCCAATGGGGGGACTTCACCCCGGATGAATCCCCATAGCCAGATGGTCCTGGCTGGTAGCCACCCTTGGGTAGGAAATTAAGCACTCTGGAAAATGCATGCAGAATTTATCGACTCTAACTTTAGGAATCCAGCGAGGAAATGTACTTCCAGAGGGTCCAATTTCCTGCCGGGGACTCATTCACTTGCTGAGTGATCATTAGAGTTGAATCCAAGAGTCATTAAAAAGGAGCATAGCTCTCCAGTGTCCATCTGGTGCCTCACTGCTCTCCACATAGGCAGGCCTGAACCTGGCTGCTTGCCTGCATCTCTGAGGATGCACCCCAGGAACCTCTAGCTTTTAAAAAGCCCCTGAGGTGATTAGCCAACCAGCTACACTGGAGAGCTCCAGCCTCTGAGGCCGTGCTGTGCTGGGAAGAGCAATCTGCAGGCAGCCAGAAAGCTCATCTCTCCTGACCCTCACAGGTCAGGAGAGACACTGTTTTTCATGCACGCCTCTCTCAAAGATGGGCTCTGGGGACAAGCTTCGTGCTGGTTCAAGCGTGAGCATCGGTATCACCTGGGAACTTAAAATGCTATCAGAATTCGAGTGTCTGAGTGAGACCTGGCAAGCTGCATTTTAACATCCCTCCCAGGTGACTCTGGTTCAGGTTTAAAGCTGGCGTTACAGAATGAAGGAAATATATTTTCCTTTTCTTTGTTTTATATTTAAAAGTCTTTCCCTCACAGGTAAACTCTGGAAGACAAGGAACCACGATTACTGAACCTTAAGGGTAGCCTGTATTTTGTAGATCTGAAGCTTTGCCCTTGATGCTTCTCTCAGCCCACAGAGTAGGTGATCCTTCTCTCTGCCTCCTTTTTCAGTTTCTTATGTTACTGGGGACAATTAATAATATAAGGGGGGCTTCCCTGGTGGATCAGAGGTAAAGAAATCTGCCTGCAAGGCAGGAGATGCAGGAGACCTAGGTTAGATTCCTGGGTTGGGAAGATCCCCTACAGGAAGAAATGGCAACCCACTTCAGTATTCTTGACTGAAAAATTCCATGGACGGAGGAACCTGGCAGGCTACAGTCTATGGGGCTGCAAAGAGTCAGACATGACTGATCAACTGAACATGCATACACAATATAAGGGACCAAGGAGAACAGTGTTTATGGCTGAAAGCATTCTATGCCTCAATTTTCATGATCAGCATTAGGTAACAGGTATTTTCTCCTATTTCTAGAACTGAAAAAAGAATTGGCACAATTAAAAATGAAATTTAAAAAAAGAGCAAGAAAAAAATTGCCAGCTTGATAACTTAGCTGACCGCTTGCACTAACAGTTCACAGCAAATCTGAGGAGGAGAGCACCTTTAAATCCTTGCTACTCAGTGTGTGGTCCATGGACCAGTAGCATCAACCTCACCTGGGGGTCTGTTAGAAATGCAAGCTCTCAGGCCCACCCACACCAGTGCCCTGGAATCTGCACTGTCACAGGATCCCAGGGTGCAAGTTCGGCAAGCTTTGAGAAGCCTACTCCAACAGCCTCCTTGTTTGGTCCACACCATTCCTACTATCCACCAACAGATCACACTACCAGTTATTCAGGAGGAAAGTGCAGCCCAGAAATGTTAGGCCCAAACATAAGTGAGTAGAATACGAGACTCCACAGCTGACAGGGTTTAGAGGGAGGTGTGAACTGAAGTCTGTCTCCTAATGCACCACCTCCTGGCCAGAACAGGTGGACCACGTGAGGCTGGACACGCTGCAAGGGGTGGGGCCAGCCAGCCTTTACCAGTCCTCAGATTCTTTCTCCCAAACACTTCAAAGGGAAACAAAAGCATCCTCTGAGAGCCCTCAACCTGAACTCTGCCTGAAGTTAAATTTTTTTTTTTTTAAAGAACAGCTGGTTCTCAAATTTTCTGCTTCACCTACACACCAGAAGGAAGAAAATACACTTTAAGCAAAAGTGGTTCCCAAGGGCAGAATGGGTGGAAATGAAAGGGGCAAGGTGGGTATGATTGGAAAAAAGCCTCCCAGGTAACTGTGATCTGCACAATCTCAACACAGGGCCCTTGTCTGTCACCTATGTTTCTAAAGTCCCAGGGGCTAACCCATCACCGGTATTCAGCAGAATTACACCAGCTCTCATTTTAAACCACAGGTTTGCCCATCCCACCCTGACTGAGTCGGAATCTGAGGTTAGGGTCAAGCGATGCACTCTCAAGTTCCCCAATTTTAAACTAAAGCTTGAGAAGTTCAGAGGAAGAGAGACAATAGTTGCTTTCAAACTTGGTCTTTGCATTTTTAATACCTGTAGTCAGGAAAGACAATTTGTATTGTTCAAAACAAATAAATACCATTTCAGCTCTCCCACTCTGCCCTGTGTAAGCATCTGACTAAGGTCCTTTGCAGATCACTCTGTGAGATAAAGGCATGGAGGGAGCCCAGCCACCGCATACACACAGGCCTGCAATGGACGTTTGTGAATGAATGAGTAAAGGCATGTCTCCTGAGGATCCCACCTTAGGCTTTTCTGTCCCAGGAAAAGTCACAAGAACTCCCCAAATGGGCTGGACTTCGTTCTTGAGCTTCAGATCAAGTAGGGGGTAATATCAGTCTTTAGTATGTGCCCCACAGTCAGCTACTCAGATGCAGAACTTGAT